TCTTCCCATCTCTGCTGTTTAGTTTAGGAATTGGGTGTTGAATTTTACAATGATTTACAATGAGTGCCACGTGGGTCCTTTTTGCCTGTCATTATATTACAATGATTTATAAATAAAAAATAATAATTTTTAATTACATAATATAAGTTGCCCTTTCCCCACGCATCCAAAAAAAAAAAATCAAAATGAGTGGATACAATGAACTTGATTTTTCAAAGGGCATCTTTAGTCATTAAGGAATTAAAAAGACATCATATTCATATATCATTTTAAAAGTTAGCCCATGACAAGAACGTGTAATGGAGTTTTTAGATATTTTTAACAAGTAACGAAGGTTTTAGATATTTTTCTTAATATATGGGATTACATGACTGATTTTGGTTAGCATATGAGATGTTTTATAATTTTAACTAGGGTAGTTAATTTTGTCATTTCACGTGTCAATTAACAATTTCGTCACTGAATGGGAGTAGAACGATCATTTTTGTTAGTTCTGGAGGCTATTTGTTAGTATGAGAAAGTTATGTGACATTTTGAAATAGTACAGGGGATTTTATGATTTTAACGAATTTAACCATTCTTTTAATCCACAATGGATATTGCATTGTTTAATTTCTTTTAAAAATTGTCATTGGAAAAAAATAAAAATAAAAATAAAAATACATTTTTTGAAGAGTGAAGCCTATTATTGTGGCACATTTGATAACCAAAATTTGGACAGTGTAAACGCTGACGGATTCAAAAAATTATGTAAAGGAAAGACGATAATAATTTTTTATTAAATAATTTCAGTGAGGACAATGGTAGAATTTTATAAGTATGTAATTCAAAATGAGAAAATTAGCAAGGGTGTAATAAAAAAAGAAAATATCCCCACTAATGTATATATAAGTAGGTCCTAATTAAATTTGGAAACTTAAATTAAAAAAAATACTAATAGAGATGCTTTTTGAAGTCTCAAGCCTCTTCAATATTTTTATTTATTTATTTATGTATATATATATATAAACTGGTCAAGGTCTTCTCACGACCATAGAGATAGAAATTAAGGTCTTCTCCAATAACTGAAGAGAGAAGAAAAAGGAACATCACAAAGATAAATATCCTAGACGACTATGAGTCCATGTGCAAGTAAGTAATAATAATAATAATAATAGCCCTACAAACATTCAAAAACATATATTAATAATAGAGAATTTTAAAAAATTAAAATTAAAAGAGAAAAGACTTTATATATTATTAAATTACATTGATTTTGCAATATCTCAAAATTAGAGGAGGAATGTTTGTTTTGCTATAAATGGAGTACCATTTTACCCATTCAATTTGCAAGGGCTCTTTCGTCAAACATAAAATAGCATCATCTTTTAACAAAGAATGGTTAATTATGTATACACGGTCCCTACATTACTTAAACCATTTTGAATTTTTGTATTGAGTGTTGCGGGGGTGCAGTTAAAGAGTTATTATAAGCATCTACATCCTACAACACCTACTCGATTGGTCTATATGTAATCTTAAATCTCATTTATAAGAACCTCCAGTAGGACCAGTAGTACAAGAAGCTTGGGGTCATAGAAAGTAGTGTAAGGTGAGAGAGAACCATTATTAGAGACTACTAGTTTATATATATATGGAGATGGATCGGTTGTTGTGGTGGGTTTGGATTTTGTTTCACATCTATGTTAATTATGGATGCTTGGAGTCAGAGAGGATGGCTCTCTTGCAAATCAAAGCCTCCATCAACTATCCAAATGGAACGTCTCCTCTGACATCTTGGGAATCAAATGATAAGCACAGCCACCGTTGTGATTGGGAAAGGGTTGAGTGTAACAATGGGAGGGTCATCCAACTTTTACTCAATACCACATATTGGAATGACGAGGATGCCATAACCCGTTATATGAATTTCTCATTGTTTCTTCCCTTTAGAGAATTCGTATATCTAGACTTGAGTCTGGGTTGAGCATGAAGGTTAACTGTTTGCGTTATTTATTTATTTTTGTTCATATACACTCTTTTTTTAATTTGGAATTTTTTTTAATTGTGTGTGATTTTGAAATCTCCAACATAATTTATAGATTTTGAAAGATTATCTGAGTTAAGAGAGTTAGAGGTGCTTATATTGGATTCTAATTTATTCGATAACAGTATCCTACCATCTCTTGATACACTTTCATCACTTAAAACTCTATCTCTAGCCAACAACAATTTGAATGGATCAATTGACACCCAAGGTGATTAATTCAAAAGTAAAATACCACCTTTTTCAGGTGGATAAAAGAAACATATCTTGTTGTTCTCAATATGCCTAAATACTATCATTTTTCACACGTACTTAATAAATTTGGAGGAAAGCTGCATGTTATTTAACTGCATTTTGTTTTCAAAAAAAAAAAAAAAAAAAACATGTTAGTCCTGAGCAACTTTATCTTCATATTAGTGTAAGAAAAAAAAAATTAATTGCAGGTTTTGCCTCTAAATTAGTATGAATGATCCGAAGTGTATAAATTCTGATATCAGTTTTTTTCGTGTCATTGTAGCTTTTTTTAACATGAGCAATTTGGTGAAGCTGGACTTGAGTAGAAACCATATAAATAGTTTTACAGGGAATGAAGGTACAAAATGAGATAAAAGCATTTTGGTTGATCTAATTTTCATAGACCATCGTACTCAGTTGCAAAGTTGAGATGCAATTACCATTAAGCAAGCTGAAAATCATGCAGTTGGGGTCGAACTGTAAACTTTAATTATTTGTACAAAATATTAATCACAACATAAATCTCAAAATCTTATAACTTCATTAATTTCACATATTCATAATGCAAAAATAAATAGTTAGATACAAATATTTTGATCCAAGATAACAAATTGCGTAAAGATCCAGCCAAAAGTCAAGATTCTTTTTGTGAATAGTATTCAACTAGCCGGTTGAAAAGTATTCGGCTAGCTGGTTGGGTTGAACATGGAGGTTAGTGGTTTGATAAGTTTATAAATTATCACTTTTTTATTTATTTATTTTTGTTGATATACACACTTATTTTTTAAAAAAAATTTCTAATTGTGAGTAACTTTGAAATTTCCAATATAATTTGCAGGTTTTAAAAGATTATTTGAGTTAAGGAAGTTAGAGGTGATTATATTGGATTATAATTTATTCGATATCAACATCCTACCATCTCTTAGTGCACTTTCATCACTCAAAACTCTGTCTCTAGCCTCCGACAATTTGAATGGATCAACGGACACCAAAGGTGATTAATTCAAAAATAAAAAACCAACCTTTTTTAGGTCGAGAAAAGAAGCATATATTCTTGTTCTCAATATGACTAAATATTATCATTTTTCACTCAATATGACTAAATATTATCATTTTTCATACATACTTTATAAATTTGGAGGAAAGCTACTTGTTATTTAACTGCAATTTAAATTCAAAAAAAAAAAATAATGAATACAAATACATAACTACCTTTGCAATTTTATCCTCATATTAGTGTCAGAAAAATAAATAAATAAATTTGCAGGTTTTCCGTCTAAATTACTATGATTGGTTCGAAGTGTATATATTCTCATATCAGTTTTTTTTTTTTTTGGTGTCCTTGTAACTTTTCTTAACACGAGCAATTTGGTGGAGCTGGAATTGAGTAGGAACGGGATAAGTAGTTTTACGGGAAATGAAGGTACAAAATGAGATAAAAGCATTTTGGTTGATCTAATTTTCAGAGACCATGTTGAGTTGCAATTACCAACCAGATTTTAAATATTTTCATAGTAATCAGGCTTGAAGAGCTTAAGCAAGCTGAAAATCATGCGGTTGAGGTCGAACAGTTTTTAAAATGCCAGCTTTCTACAATCATTGGGTGCTCTTTCCTCACTAAAGGAGTTAGATCTCCGGTACAATTATGAATCGCCAGTATTGGTTTCAAAAAAAGGTAAGAGATAATGGAGATGCCCGAAGATGCCTCTCAACTCAATTTGAATTGGCATTTTTTCAATATTGGAATTAAAAACATATTCAGCTATATATATTATTAAAATGAGTAGAAAATATTTTGATTGTACCAGATATCCATTTTTTTATTTTTCCTTCAGTCGACTAATTTGGGTCCTGATATTCATCTTCACCTGTGGTTTTTTTGTTATTTTCTTAATACACTTTCTAGGGTTGGACGGGTTGGACAATTTAAAAATGTCTCAAGCTCACTTTAAATTGGCTTTTCCAATTTCTCTATCATGACCTCATGGTGGTTGATCTATCACATAACAACCTGACTGATAGTGGTGGGATATTATTTTTTCTCTCTTGGTTGTTAGCAAACAATACTCAATTGGGTCATCTTAATTTAAGAAATAACTCCTTCTCAGGCCTTTCCCATTTTTGACTTCTCCTTGCAACATCACAAAGTGGATTGATTGATGTCTCTAACAATTATATTCATGGTCAACTCCCAACAAATATAGGTTCCATCTTTACAACTGTTCTTCTCTGGTGACGATAGACCTAAGAGGCAATAACCTAAGTGGTAAGGTTCCGAGCTCGATTGGCAACCTTTCCTCATTGACCATTCTTCTCCTCAAATCTAATAGTCTCGAGGGTGAACTTCCTGTGCAATTGTGCAGCTTTGAAGGGTTAACTTTATTAAATCTTTCTCAAAACAATCTTTCCGGTTCCATACCTCATTGCTTTGGTTACATACCTTTTCAAACCAATGACTACAGAATCCTTTATATCAGACAGATTTGGTACTGTGGATTGGAGAATTTATTTTTTTTGTCTTCCGTGGTGATGGAGACGAGGTTATCTAACAACTTACGCTTTTCGTGAATTAGCCATTTGAATCAAGCTCAAACTTCCTTCTTGCATGCGTGCCCCTCCCGAAGCACATACTATAATAAGAGGTAGAAATTTATTGGTAGCATACTCGACCAAACGGGTAGAAATTCCCACTGAAGGTTGGGGTTCACCACAAAGAGTAGATTGTAATATACTGGACTATATGTCAGGAGTCGATCTCTCTTGCAACCTCTTAACAGGAGGAATCCCATCTGCTATTGAAAATCTAAGTGAGATCCATGTACTAAACCTGTTACATAACAATCTCATTGGTTCAATCCCAACAACTTTCTTAATGTTAAAACAAGTGGAGAGTTTGGATCTTTCCTACAACAATTTGAGTGGAACAATTCTCTCTCAACTCATCGAGTTGAACTCTTTGGCAGTCTTCAGTGTGTCACACAACAATTTATCAGGTACGACTTTGGAACAGAAAGCTCAGTTTGGGACCTTTGAAGAAAGCAGTTATGAGGGAAATCCTTTTCTTTGTGGACCTCTATTACGTAACAGTTGCAATAAAATTGGATCTCCGTCGACATTGCCTCATCACTCTTCAGAAGAGGAAGGTTTTATGGATATGGGGGTTTTCTATGTGACTTTTACCGTCTCTTTCATAATTGCATTCTTGGGAGTTGTTGCAGTTCTGTGCATAAATCCTTATTGGAGACGAGAATGGTTTCGTATCGTCGAAGCTTATGGGACCTCTTGCTATTATTTTGTTCTTGACTGCTTTCTCAAGCCGTTCAACGGAAGAGGCGTGTAGATCTCGCATGTATCTTCATGGCTGTGTGTGTAAATGCATATAGGCCTATTTAAGGATTGTCTGTTTTTGTAATGTACAATGATGATTATCTAAATGGATACCACACTTTTTCTTCTGTCCAAATCACTCAATCTGAATTGTCCACTTACCTTTTCATCTGTGAGTACTTAGGTAACTCAAAAAAAAAAAAAAAAAAATACTCAATTGAGAAGGAAAGAGACGTACCCAGGATTACTAAATATAATTTACGTTGGCAAAACTTCGTCATTCTGAGTGTAGATTGCTGCATAATGATCAATATAGTTCACTAGTCTTTCTAGGGTTGAATGGGTTGAACGACAACCATTTTGAGGGAAAGATTCCAAACAGCTTGTCTGCCATATCTCTTTTGTCGGTATTAGATATTAGCAGCAGCAACATGTCAGGCAATCTTCCCAGATGGGTTGGGAATATGCATGATTTTGGGGTAGTTGTCATGTCCAAAAAACATTTTGAAGGTCCCACTCCAGTAGAGTTCTGCAAACTTGATTTGCTTTCTTTTTTACACCTTTCCAACAATAATTGTCTGGAACTATTTCATCTTGCTTCTACACATCACATATAGATCATATCCATCTGAACCAAAACAGGTTAAACGGCCCACTAACACATGCATTTTACAACAGTTCTAAATTAGTAACGCTAGACATCGGAGAGAACAACCTAACCGGTAACATTCCAAGTTGGATCGACAACCTTTCCATGTTGAGCATTCTTCTCCTCAAATCTAATAACTTCGAGGGAAACATTCCTGTTGAATTATGCCAATTGAAAAAGTTAAGCATATATGTTGGATCTTTCTCGAAATAATCTTTCTGGTCCCATACCTCCTTGCTTTAGTGACATATCTTTTGAGGCAACCTTGGGAAGATCTTCTATACCGATCGACTACCTAATTGCTGATCCAAGAGACATATGGTTGTCCTACATGGTGGGATCAAGGTTAGATGGAGGCTATATACCAAAATGGACAAAAGATTTGTTTTTTCAGCTCCTTCAACGGATGCACTGACAGTACACTCCTCTTAATTAACAAAATAATGATGACAATCATAATAATGATGATGATTACGATGATGGTACACATAGATGCTAGAAGAAAAGACTGAATTTCCCTTTCTTCAATCATTCTTGTAATTTGTTGGTCACTCACCTTGCCACTACAGAGAATTAACAATAATGTAGTTGACACCAACAGCATTCCACCATTATGGCAAAAATGTGTGAATGGAGTAGCTGAGCTATCGTGGTAAGGTAGTGATGGCAAGCCCCATAGATTCCGCAACTTCTCTATAGGCAAAATTATCAGCTTGCTCCTACTCATTACACAGGCACCAACTCAGCAGAGCACAGACAGAAAAAAACTAGATAATTAGGTATCCACACCTGTAAGTTATTGTAAAAATGATCGTTTCTCAGCAAAGCATGCATTATTCAACAACAATGAAAATGCTCTGGCACTTCACACTCGTCAAGTAAGTTAAATATATTAAAATGGGCCTAAATTTCATGGTCATTGAATAACTGGTCCGTCCTAAATACTCCGAGGATTCTTAGGATTTTAAACCACATTTCTGACCATACATTGCATACTGCATTCAAGAATCAAACAGAGAAAATTCCATATATTTCCATATGAGCTGTTTATAAGACCACCAAATTGCTTACTGGCTTTTCAGGTTTTAAGAGTTAACCTCAAATTAAGACAGGATAAATGGACACCATGACTCTCTCCCTCTGTAACTTTCAATCTCATGCCCTAGCTTGAGGCATCTCTAAACACTCACCTGTCACAACAACTCACATCATAATCCCCACTGATCAATGGAAACATTTTGCCACTTCCATAACCACAAACTAGTCTGTTTCATAATCCACTTGGGCTCCTAGGAGGACTTGGCTTAGTAGCTAATGTCCAGCATTCACCAAGGTGTTCCTACGCACTCTACACCATGAAGATTATATGCCTCTAATCATCAGGCAATTTGGATCAAATTCACTAATTGGCAACCACCCATGAGGCTGCCTCAATGATACATAGTGGCACTTCATTAGTTAGCAGCAATGCCCCACAAGGAACACCCCGTGGTATGATCATCACCTTTCCCATTGATCTACCTCCTCACAATAGTTAATGGATTGTTTGCACACTTGAGGCAGAGCCTAACCATTTTCAAAGGGCCTTCAGAGCATCAGACAAACACGACGATTCTAAACTAGACATCGAACTCTCCAAACATAAGCCAATTTAAATGGACAAGGGTGACCCAGGAATACACAGGTGACCTAACTACTGCAACGCGCACACCCTATCTTTTACAGAACAGCCTTGCACCTAGCACGTATAATCTTCCATAAACAGCTCTTTGATTTACTTTTTATTTTATTTTTTATTAATAATTATTTTTCGGGTTTGGGAGGAGGTTCAAAAGCATCTTGTTTTTCCTAGGCTTCTTCTTCCTATTATTTTTAGGATAAGTTTTAGGTTTCTTATTTCATTAATTAAAATAAAAAAATTAGAGTTCTTTTTTTTTTTTTTTATTTCTAATGTTAAAAATATAATATAACCCCCCCACCCAGGGAAAAAAAAAAAAAACAGAACTCACTGCCAACATTTCTTGTTTAATCATTTCACCATTTTAAGGCTTTACTCTTTAGGCTTTTGTCTATTGGTTTAGATTGGGTCCTTCCTTATTCACTAAAATCAATGAAGCAATGGTCATTCTATAAGCGGACATACCCATATTGTATCCATATCGGATAACCTTTACTTCCAATACTTTTTAGATACTCTGAGACACATCTATTGGGTCTTGAACATTAAAATTTAACTTTGCCAAGTACAATATCACAATATGATTATTAGAAAAAACATAACAATGGTCCCAAATACCTAGAAGTTTTTTACAAAAAGACGAATTAAGATAGAACAAGAATATATCATGTTTACTTATTCCAAAGTTTTTGTCCATGCAATTGAACTCGAAGATTGTTTGTCATAATTTGCTTTATAAGGGAATTCTAGTGAATATTAATAACATATAAGTAATTATATTTTAAAATTACATATACCTATAAATTTAAATTTTTATAGATGTCCACATAAATGTAATATATATACATTGTCATGTCCTTACAGAAGTCATATTCTATTTTTAAGAATTTGATGTGTCACCGTGGTATTCGGATCAATGCTTCATAGACTGAAAAAAAGTTGTATAAGTTGGTGGCAAATAGCTAGGGTTGTTTTCATTGCATTTCTTGTACAATTAGGAACAAGAAGATTTACAGAATCTGAGAATACGGATGTCTGCCCCCTGCCCATTACTAATGGTAAGAAACATACTTTTTCAGTTTAAAAGAACAAAATGTTTCATTTTCATCGCAGCACAATGTTTGCTTAATAATATACTATATGCCTTCATAATGATCTAATTCCTATAAAAATTGTGCATATGGCCAGATATCGATACCTGAAGGCAATCAACAGATACATCAAGAAGAGATGAACAAATACCTGCAGATAGTTTCATAGAGTTATTGTGGAATTCAAAGCCTTCAGTTTAAGGTTGCACAAACAGATTTTGTGTAAAGATAATCTTATCAAGTCTTCCCACCAGATAGAAGAGCAGGAGAACTCTAGCAGTTGGATGTCATCAGATAAATCTTGCGGCCCTGACAGCCCCAGAATCCAAAATTTTTGCTGCCTTCTGTAACTGGATTATTCAAGTTCAGAATTTCAGATACAGAATCAGAAACAGAAGTAAAGGGGAGCAAAAATGAAATGAAATAAGAAGGCAGGAATACATGTATGCTTGCCCCAACCATATGGCGATGACGCAGGGGGAGAGGCCTACAATTACTACTTTGTGAGAAAGAATAAAATACGGGACACCCAATGAACCACATAACCTCAAAGATGGACTTAAAGAGAGATGATTTGGTGATATCCATACAAAGGAAAGATGGTTCATGTATGGCCTTATTCCACTTCTCAAAACAACCCATCTTTCGACTTATTTAGCAATAAGAAAGAGATCAGAAAACAATTAAACTAGAAAAAGTTCAAGAAATAGTAAGTGAACAAAACCAAATTTTTGTAGGATATTGTAGCACCAGTTTCACCTAAATTTTATTACCTACAAATATATCAGGAAATAATATAAAAATAAAATCAGTCAATTCCAAATATCCAGTAAATCATTAAGTCCAACTAAAACCTTTAACATGGTTCCAACTGCCACAGTAAGATCCACTTTAGTCTGTTCTCACCTCTCCAATACGATGGATCAAATACTTGATTTCTCATTTCCCAATGAGAAATCAGTTCTCCTCAAAAGGCGACTCCTTTTCTGCAATTTGCTTAAAAGAAAGATTGCATTGCATTCAGTAAGCTAAATGTTGTCATGAATAAGTTAGTTTGAAAGCGCGGTCAAGTGATTTAGAAACAAGGGGACTGTTGAGAATCTATCTGGCCTGGTCGTACTCCACAATTTCAGCTTATTCATATAGTGTTGCTTTGTTTTAGTTGTATTTAGATGGGATGGCTTCATCACAGGGTTAACGAAATTGCATTGGCGTGTAGGCACTATATTGCAACATTGATAAATTGAAACATGAATAGGCATCCTATCAAATCACATGATCATTTCTTATAATCAAGGACTCTCATGTGCATGCAATGTTTGCGTCAGTGGCCTTTTGGTGATAAAATCTTATCTTGATTTCTTAGCATATATTATGATGTAATAGTAAATAACACGCAGAAGCTCAAGGTATACTCTAGATGGCAGAACATCAGCTACAAGTACATTCTAAACCTCCAAGGTATAATTGTGATAGTCCACATTCTGTAACTCTGAAGTAACAAAACAATCTAAATTCCGGTTATGTGAAGCTAAAATGCCATCTTTTTTAACACATTGAATATCAACATTCTAGAAGTTCACGGATGGAAAAATTCCTAATTTAATAAGGAAGCAAGTGCTTTCATGTCAGTGTCTTCTTCTCAAGATGATGATGCTCGATGAGAAGATCTTCTCCTTTCTGCTTCTACCTAGTATTAGAATGCAAATTCATTTGTAAACTATTAAATTTTATATTATAAATTACTACAAGAACGGAATATCATTGACATTAATCAATACGCAGAGCAGACCTTCGCTTCTTGAAGACGCTTTAACTCTTTCTCCAATTGAAACTCTTCGACATCTTTTTCACTAGCCATGGCTTCCAACTGTGTTTGCTTGTAATACTGAACCATTAAATAGTGATTATGCTTATTACAAGACAGAGAAATTATTGGTTTAACAATGTGACCCAATGAGCAATGTCTAGTTTTGAGTAACAATCCAATAAATTAGTTAGTTACCGTTTCTCTAATTCCATATGCTCCTGTTAAATGGTAAGCATCACCTTAAGGATTAATTTTTAGTATATACTGAGTAATGTAACTAAACCTACTAGAGAACAATAATTTATTGAAAAAATGGAGGGCAAAGGGAAAACAGAAAACGAGAACCAACTAAACCTCTAGGTTCCATGATAATATACATAGTAGACCTTCAGTTTAAAACACAAAATTTAGCAATATAGAAAAAAATTCATTTTTTTTTCTCAATCATTGTGTTGTGGTAAGTCCGCAAGTACCCAAAACCCTAGCTAAAAAATTATGAAATTAATAGTTGCTTCTTTTCTCCTTCTTTTCTAAAGCAAATCATGTCATCTCACTACCACAGAAATCTATCCTAAAGCAACATCGCTGCACTAAATTAGATGCCACATGCTAGTAACCATCATAAATTTGTTGCAGTCATCGCAAATTCCCGAGTCATAATTTTTGGAGTCATGAAATTCCCACATGTCTTCATCCAAGCCAACCATAAACAATATATTCATGAATCCATGATTCTGAGTTCCAAATTCCAAAAAAAATATATATATAAATGTGCAGAATAAGCTAATACATTGAGCTACTCTATGTTTACAATTAGGCAGATATAAGCCAAATTATTAGTGTTAGCTATATATATATATATAACCAAGTGAATTATTTCTACGCTGTGAGAAACTCCCAATGCAATTAAATCCGTAAAAGGCAAGCAAATTTATGCCTCTCACGGGCTGTTTCTAACAAAGCTTCATCAGTTAAAGTTTACAACATAATGTTCAATCATACATATTCCATATCAAACAATTCGAACCAAAAATATCAAATTTAGTATATATTTCGGGCACATGCCACTTCATATCAGAATTTGGAGAAATGAAACAAACAATGCACAAAAAAATTGATCAAATAACATATATATTGTCACAAGTTTCATACCTTCAGCGGCTTTAAACCACGAAGCCATCAAATGCAGAGGGTTTGGACCTGAACAATGATGCCCTAGTGAGGGAGATCAAATGACCCTGTTTCTGCCCTTGTTTTAATTTCCCACCCTGGCCCTAACCACCCTGCTCTGATTAACAATATTTATTTTTTTATTATTAAGAAACAATATGAGTTTCTGAAATGGTAAAGAAATAAAGATATTTAGAGAAAGAGTTTAGGTGTTTTAATTTATGAAAGTATGTTTTAGTAGTTTTAGTTTTATACAAGGATATTTAAGTAATTATAATGTGATATAAGGTCACCGGATGGGTTTAGGGATGATAATGGGTTGTTTGGGGATGGGATCTCATTTTGCATCCCCATTCCCATTTACTTTTTTCACCTTTATAACCGTCTCAAAACTCACAACTTTTTCAAAATAGCCCCCATTTATATAATTGGTTCCCCAAAATCGTCCCAAACGGGACGGGACAACATCACCCGAAACTGTCCAAAAATTCGTCAAATTTTTCAATATAGCTCATATCCCTGTCCCCATTTACAAAATTGGTTCCCCAAAATCGCCCTAAACGGGGCGGGGTGGGAATTTTTGCCATCCCTCATGGGTTGTTTATCTCCGATTCCACTCTTCATACTCTAAATCCCATCCCGTATTCGAAAGAAAATGTAATTTGTCATTCCTAATTATAGGACACTAAAAAAAAAAAAAAAAAAAAAAAAAAAAAAAAAAAAAACTTTATTGCATCTATAACCCCAAATTACCCCTGGCTCAGTCACAATTAGTCCATGTATTTTACGAAAGTTGGTGCATATGGTGGTTTGAATTAATTTTCTTAAAATCCATATAATTGATGTTTGTACATTTGATGATTGGAAGAACAAGTAAACATGAAATCTGGTTGAATAAGGCCCATCGAGCACTGTTGGGTTGGGTTGGGTTAGTTGGGCCTTCAACATTGGGCTAAGCAACTAGGCCTAAACTTAGTGTAATGTAGTACAGTATTAATAAACCAACCATTCTGCAGATCCATAAGTTATGGGTTCGCTACCCCCAAAGGCCCGAAGTTAAACAATGCTCATTGGATATATATACTTTGAAAAATAAAAAAATAAAAAATTGTTGAAATGCATTTTATACAGAGTCACATATACACACTTTAATTAACTCTTGAATTTTAAGGAATGTATTTGTGTTTTTTAGTCTTTCAAATTAGTGAAGTAGAAGGATGTGGTGAAAAGGTTGGTCCAGTAAAATAAGCAAGACTTTCAGATATTGGAAGGACACGTAGTTTTAAAATTCAGATAATACTACTAAAAGATCGATCATGTACGCAGACCTGATTAGAAATTGATTATTACTATATCTTAAGAGAAAAAGTAACTTTTGAAAAGAAATTCATAGTAATTTGAGAACCAAAAGAGATTAAGATCGATATAGACGTTTGCAAAAAAATGAAAAAATTCAGCCAATTGAAGAAGCCGGGAATACTAACGCATTTTGGGATACTAAATACTGACACGTAGTACTTTTCATACATTGTCTTCCACTATCAAAATCGAACCTCTGCCATTTATCACATCATTTGTGAATTTTATAAATAAATAATTAAATTTAGTATTGCATTCATCAAATATTCAAATATGAAGAGAAGTCATAAATTAAAAAATAAACAAGACTTTCAGATATTGAGGAAGGACGCGTAACTTTAAAATTCAGATAATATTACTAAAAGATTGATCATGTTGTAAAGCATAATTAATTTGTGTTAGAATTTAATCACAAATAATCATAAATTCCTAAGTCTTAAAACTTCAATTAATTTCATGATATCAAACTTTATTGAGATTAAATCTAACGTCTAGATCATTTAACCACGAATTAATTTGTAACTCTGATCAACAGGTAAAGGTGAAAACTGGTTTCTCTCTCTCAGCTTTTTGCACATATAAAATTTTTACGTGTTGTATCATTAATTGTACATAATTAATGGAGTATATACACTTTTATAAAGGTAGGGAGATGACCAATTTTTTTTATTAGTAACTTAATTCTACTTTCCATCAAAGTAAGGAACAATAAAGGAAAACACTTCTCCAATAAGTAATTACCATAAAAGTAATTATAAGTTGACCAATAATAAATAATATTAATTGATATCTATTTACTTAGCCACCAAGTAATATGTCGCATATCCAAATCATGTGGGTTACAATTAAATAAATAATCTTACATTCTCCCACTTGGCACATATGATAACTTCTGTAGTGGTTTAATAAAATAGTCATCAGTGTGCAGTATAAATCAAATTAAGATATTAAATTGGTCATCATAAATACCATGGTAAACGAACTACCAATGTGAGTCATGGCGATTGTATGTCACTAAATGACACAATCCCTTCTATGTACCACAACACTAGTAACCCATTTAATATAGTCTATAAGTAAGAAGAAACAATAAAGGTCTAACAATAATGTCTATTCTAAGACTATTCTCGTTTTCATCATTTAAAGTAATACATGCATGTACATATATAAATTAACAGGAAATATCATAAACACATTTTTAATGAGCTTAAAATGTCAAATAAATATAAGCATTGTTAAGCAATCCACAACAAAAATAATAATTAACTTTGATTACATTCAAGACCCATTATTTCAACATGCCCTATGAATGTCATGGGTGGTAATCCTTTTAGTAATGGATCTGCAACCATAAGTTGTGTGCTTATATTTTCAAAAGACACTCGTTGTTTCTGAACTTCTTCTTTAACGATAAGATATTTCAGCTCCATATGCTTAACGCCATTAGAATACTTATCGTTTTTAGTAAAGAAGACAGCTACGGTAGTATCACAATAAATTTTCAGCGGTCTAAAAATTGAATCCATAACACCAAATCCCGAAATAAAGTTTCGCAACCACAAACCATGATTTATAGCCTCAAAGTATGCTACAAATTCAGTTTCCATAGTTGATGAAGCAATAATGGACTGTTTTGCGCTTTTCCATGATATTGCCCCTCTAGCTAAAAAGAACAAATAACCAAAAGTGAATCTTCTATTATCCACACATCCAGCAAAATCTGAGTTTGAGTAACCAATAACCTCTAAATCACTAGTCCTTCTAAATGTGAGCATATAATTCTTTGTTCGTTGTAAATATCTCATGACTTTCTTTGCAGCTTTCCAGTGAAACATTCCTGGATTGCTTTGGTATCTGCCTAGCATTCCAACTGCAAAACCAATATCTGGACGAGTGCAAACCTGTGAATATATCAAACTTCCCACAATAGATGCATAAAGAATATTTTGTATTTCTTTATGTTCTAATTCATTCTTTGGGCATTGTATCAAACTAAATTTATCTCCTTTCTGTATTGGAACAATACTAGCTGAACAATGTTCCATACCAAATCTCTCTAGAATTCTCTCAATATATGTTTTCTGAGACAATCCTAACAATCCACGTGACCTGTCACGGAATATTTATATCCCTATCACGTAGGATGCCTCACCCATATCTTTTATCTCAAAATTCTTAGAGAAATAATTTTTAGTTTCATGCAATAAACCAAAATCACAACTAGTAAACAAAATATCATCAACATATAGAATCAGAAATATAAACTTACTCTTACTAAGCTTCTGGTATATACACTGATCAACAGTATTTTCATTAAAACCAAAAGAAGTAATAGTATCATTAAACTTAATATACCATTGTCGGGAAGCTTGTTTAAGTCCATATATTGACTTCTTAAGTTTACAGACTATGTGTTCTTTACCCTCTAATCTAAAGCCTTCAGGTTAATCCATATAGACTTCTTTTTCTAAACTCCCATTTATGAAAACTGTTTTCACATCTATTTGATGCAACTCTAAATAATAATGAGCTACAAACGCCATGATAATTCTAAAGGAATTCTTCTTAGATACAGGAGAGAAGATTTCTTTCTAATCAATGCCTCCTATCTGAGTGAAGCCCTTAACTGCAAGTCTGGCTTTATATCGTTCAATATTGCCATTAGAGTCACGTTTGGTCTTAAAGGCCCATTTACACCCGACTTGTTTAAATCCTTCAAGCAATTCAACGAGTTCCCAAACTTTATTTTGTTCCATTGACTTCAACTCCTCATTCATGGCATTAATCCAATTAGTAGAATTATTAATATTAATGGCTTGTGAATATTGTAATACCGCGATAATTTTAAAAGATTTATTAATTAGGATTAATTATTTTATTTTATTTTTCAATGATTTATTTTATTTTATTGAGTGCTAGATTAATTATCTTATTTTAATTAAGTTATATTTCGTGATTATGTATGATGATTGATTGTTTGTGTGGTTGATTATTGATTGAATTATTGGTGTGTTGATTTTATTGGTATTATATGACTTAGTTGTAAATTCTTGTTTGTTTATGTGCTTCATGTAATTAGTTATTTTAATTTCTGTATTTAATTAATTATCTTATTTATTTAAATTAATTGGATTGGGCTTAAGGAAAGTTGGACCAAAAGATGTGGTCTTGGGCTTGTATGAAACCTTATTGGGTTAATTAATGAAGGTCCGTGGTTATTTAATTATTTAAATGATCACTTTTGTATCAATTATATTTATATATATATATAATTATATATAAATATAATTCATTAATAATTGTTATGGAAAGATATATATATAGATATATATTTATTGATATTTATAAGTATATATGATTTAATTAACTAATGAGTTAATTATGGAAGGAATATATATTTATATATATATATATATATATATATATATATGTTTATAGATATAAATTATTTAAAGATTATTATTTTAATTCATAATACTAGTTGGAATAGGATTTGGAATTTAAGGTGTATAAAAATACACATAAGGCTTTAGGGTTAAAGGTTTTACACGTTAGAAAAATAAAACAGACAGAGAGAGAGGAAGAAGAAGGGCTGACAAGGAGGAGGTCGGATCTGAAAAGGAGGACGTCGGAATTGGAAGAGATAATTAAAGCTTAAAGCGTCGGTTTCGTTTCGAAACCTTCAGGCGAGTTTTCTCTAACTTTCCTCTTAGAACTCATAAGGATTTCACCTTGAGTATCAAGGCTTTAATTAAATTTATTTGTTTAAAAATTATGGTTAGATCGGAATAATTAAAAAGTATAAACTATTATATTTGATTTTTAGATTATTGGATTTT